GCAGAAACAAATATCTTGTTAACTTTTATGCTTATCAACATGTATTGTTCATGTAGGTTAACCTAAATTGATATGCAAGATATATGTTCAAGAATTTAAAAAATGAAAAGCAATTTTTAATTGCAATAGGAGTTGAGGAAGGAGTGATTACTTTTGTTAAGGATGGTCATTAAGTTGTTTTTAAAAATAGAGAATCTATACTGTCTTAATAATATGTCTTGGTACATGCTCTATTCTTTATCTGCAAACAGGAACTGTCCAGTAATTTGAAACAAAAGAATCAGTGAGATCTAGACTACTACATCATCAATAACCCAACATTCTCTCCTTAAGGAGTTAGCCTTTCCCTGGGTTATTTAGACCTGCGGCTTTTTAGGGAGGAAGAGTGACATTATTTGTTCTACATCTGAAACTGTTTTATATCTGCCTGAAGCCAGCCTAGAGACATCCAAATCAATCGGAAATAAATCTGGGTGATGAACCTGATCACTACATCATTGCACAGCAAATTTTCTCATTTTTATGAAAGTGCCTCTATTATGTCATTTTCTGCAGGATGAGAAGGAAAAATAGCCATCATTGCTTTTTTCCTCCTGGGTACTATAAACTTTGTTTTTTTATATTATCGTAAGTTAAGAAAAATTATAGTACCAGAGAAAATGACTTAACCCTCATCCCCCACCCTATTTTCAGCCAAATATCTTAATTTCTTTCCTTAATGAATTTACTGAATTTTCTTTTCCTGTGGCCATTTCCTTTATGGAATTTTTATGATTTTAATATATCAACCAGACATGAAGGATTACGTATATACCACTCTTTCCTAAAACTGAATCTACCGATGGCACTTTTTGCTTTTATTTTATCCCCTCTCTGATTGTTTTTGACATATTTGGGTGGGATGGTTTAGTGGAAAGAGCCAGAGAAAACTCTAATCTGAATCCTGAATTTGACATTTGCTTGTGTTTGATCTTGAGCAAGCTGGTTTTAAGGTACAGTAATTAACCATCCTTGTGCAAGTCACTTAGCATTCCTGAGCCTTCCTCCTCATCCATAAAATGGGTATTCTAACCCCTCTTGACAATTAGAAATGAGAAATGTAAAGCTCCTACCTTAGCAGCACCAAATAGCAAGTACCTATTGTTGTATGGTGTGTTGCCTAAATATTTATTGAGTTGCCCTTTTAACACTTTTACATTTATCTATGATCGGTTTTTTGTATTTTAGGTCTTGCATCTTGATTTTATTACTTTTATAAACTGTTGTTGTGTTAAGGCTAACCTTAGAACTGAAGAGCATCTTCTATGCAACATATTCTCCAATTGAACAACGTGTGTAGGAAGCATTTTTAAAGTTCAGCCATGGTTTATCATGGCTCTTTCTTATTCCTTTAGTCCAACAGATAAGCCCGAAGCAAAGTGAAATGAACCTGCTGGCCAGTGTATCACAAGATAGAAAACAGTTTGCTATGAGTAAAAAAGTATCATTCTCACCTGAGCTGGGGAGTTGTAAAGTTGATGATTACTCTCTACTAGCTGGTTAAGGCA